GTGGTGGACGTGGGTAAAGGGCAAGCAGCCCTGGCTGCGGAGCATAAACAGGTGCTGGCTCACACACAGGAGGCAGCACGTCTGCTCAAGGGCACACATGGCCTGGAGCCTATTTTCCAGCATATCACTGGGGTGATGCAGTATGTGAAGCAGTTAGGGCCAAACCTGTCCCGCTTGATGGGCGGAGATATGGCCGAAATTAAGAATGCACTGCAGAGAGTAGAGGACCAGAATGCAGCAATGTGCACGAAAATTAACGAATTAGATGCGAAGTTGAACAGAGCACTTGAGATTCTTGAGGAATTTAATCAGCAGGCAACTCCGCACGCTGAAGAGCCCTCTGAGGCTCCTGATCCCGTACAGCCTGCGCAGCCTACTCCTCCGGCTAGGACCCTACCTCCTGGTAGCCCTGCTCCCTCGCAATCCCCTGATTTGCATATTCCTCCTTATGTTCCCAATACCCCAACCGGGGGCGGAGCCCAGCCGCTGAATCTTGTTGCAGCGCTTGGAGGGGACCCACATGGTCGCCCCTCACTACAACAAGATCCGATGCAAGCCATGCATCTGTTCATGGAAATGTGGCGCTCTATGCATGGTAGCCAGCCCCCTAGCCCGTATCGGTAGTTGACTTTTCTCTATTATGCGGCGAAACCCTGCTTTTGTCTTATTGCCTTATGCGCCCAACTGCATGCACGTGACTCAAATGCATGAGAATTTGTTTAATGCATGGAAAGGCATAAAGGATGCTCGTAAGTGGCATCTGGAGCCTGCATGAGTGCATGTCACCCTCTACTTGCATGTGTGACCCACAGCGACTGAGATCACAGTCTGCAAAACGAACCTGCCCGAGCGGTCCTCACTAGGTGCCCGACACATCTTTTCTTACAGTGTATCTAAACTGACTTTGCAGCTTTCAGCCTCAAAACAATGCAATACCCACCCAAGCTCGTGATGGTCGATGTTCACGAACTGGATGATGGGCTACATGACGGGTCAATTTGGCACATTGGTCTTGCCTTTGGGGTCATCGTTTTCGTACATGGCCTCTTCAGCTTTGGTAAATGGGTTCTCGTAGCAGGTAAATGCCTGTATGAATTTACGGTTTCTCGCCTTGTAGTCTCGGTTGAAGCTGATCAGGAGAGGACGGAAGCTGTATCACGTATTGACCGTAGGGTTGCTAAGCTCGAATACCAGCTTTATGATATTAAAGAGTTCCTCCTGAAGCTAGAAATCGAGATGAGAGACCTTAAGGCAACTGCAACCGAAGCCATCAACTTACCTAATAACGTGTGTGAAGTCTTGGTAGACATCGAAGACTCCATGAAGACCCTGGCACCCAAACTTGAGAGACTGGTAGGTACTGTCAAGCATCGAGTGGACAATCAGAATTCTGTGTTGCAGTGCATGTATTATTCACTGGATGAACAGTTCCTGTTGCTCTGCGATGTAGCCAATATCCTTGAGGAGGCCATTGATCCCACGTGCCCGTATCCTTTCACCCTGCGACTAGCAAACAGACCCAGGGGACAGGGAATGCGACCTAGGAACAGACAGTACTATTGAGATGCATTAGCGCCCCTTGGCAGCTCTGCTCGAAGAGGAACTGTAAGTGACTGTTTCTAAGCTAGACTATGAATCTTGCAACAGTCGCAGCCCGTCAGGAGGTGAAGCAAGGGGCCATTTGGGCAAGGGAGCTGAACGATTTGCTGCTTGCTTTTCCTCCTGCCCTTACGTATGTCGCAGCCTCCCGACTCCTAACCCGATTACGACGTATGCGGGCGATCCTCCCTATTCTTAGCTCGTGTTGCGTTTTATGGCCATACTGGTGTGCTATCTGGGATGTGTGTATTTCTGCTATTGTTTCTCACGAGGAGGACCGACCGGATACGGTTTCCATAAATGATAATAATATGCTTTTCAGGTGGGCTGAGACCACCGCAAAACGGGTGTACACCAGTTTGGATGAGTATAGCAGTATCTACACAGGGTGGAACTTGCCCCTTGCGTGGCCTAGTGGAGAAGCTAGGCCTTTGTGTGACCGAGTCCCCTTCTCTTCCAAAGCCCTCCCTACGATGGAAGAGCATTATCGGCTCCTGCACACAATACCGCCAAGGCTCATGACGAGACAAGCAAGCTTCAGTACTTCACTTTAACTGTCATGGCTTTATCGCCTCTTCAGTTTAGGGAACGCTTGTTGTCGGAGCTGCGGTCAATGCCGCCGGGGGTTGCGCGGGTCGCTGTGGATTCCCTCTTTAGCCTTATTGCCCGCAATCGGCTTTCGTATCCTTTAGGAGGCTACACACTTTTGCACGACGTGATGATGGATGCTGCCCCCTTTTGGCTTGACCCACACAGCGACCCACTGTCTCCCCAGATTAGGGAAAACACCGCCTCCGAGGTCAGCGATTGGGTTACTTGGGTTGAGGGGAAACTTTATTTTAGCGTGGTGGAGCTTTCTAGGTCCGAGGCCCCCGACGTCAGCACGAGCTCAGAAGAGGAAGAGTGTATCTCTAATACCGTTTATTTTGCTAACTCTAGATCTGTTGCTACCCAAACCTCGACAGCTTTTGAGCACGGCGCGGGGGGCCGTGGACATGAACGCCACTACGGACATGCCAGCTGACCAGGGGTTGGTTGTTTCGATTGAACGGATGAAGCTCTCCATTTTGGAGAGCTTTGACCGAGTTTCAACAAAATATAAGATGTGGGAGGATGGCGGCCAAGTCCTTCACTTAGGTCTTAACCCTAGGGACCTTTCCAAGCTGACACTGGCAACAGCACCTTGCATGCACCTTCTTAGTTTAATAACCGCCTTCCTCAGCCGCATAGCCCCGAACCACAGGTACAGCTCAGTCATAATTAGGGACAGCGCCGGCAAGGACATTCATAAGGATCTTAGAAATTCTCACTATCCTCAGGGTATTGTTAGACTTTCCGATTTCGAGAACGGTGGTCTTTGGATCGAATCGCCGACAGGCTCATGTTCTAAAGTGTATATGGGGATAAATGTTGCTGGCACAGTCTGCGAAATCCCGGGGGATCGACTACTAATGTTCAGTGGTAAACGTTTCCTTCACTGCACTGAGCCCTGGCTGGGTCGTAGAGTCGTACTTGTTGCTTATACGCTTATGGGAACAATTTCGATCCCCAGGGATGTAGAGGAAAGGTTGCAAGCCATAGGAATTCAGACACCAGAAAGCAGCGAAGTGGAGTATTACTTTCACCACCCTATTGGTCCTGGACAACCAACACAGCGTAAGCTTCGCTTTCGAAAGCTATCTGGTGTCTGGCAAGCGGGACGCCTCAACCTGAGACCCCATGAGCCGACAATTGACGTGGACACGCAGGAGGCGTATGCCACCCAGCTTCCCACTCAGCTTGACGACTCCAGCACCCCTTTTCCACGTCCTGAGTCGGTGCATGACAGTGACTCAGCTGAGACTCTCCTGCTCCCTAGGGCAATGAGCAGCGGGGCTAATATAGCATGAACATATGTTCTCGATCTACTCCCCAAAGGCTCCCGAACACGCTCTATGTTGGCTAGTTGTATCTACATTTTAACCAAACCACTAACCTGCGACCGCGTGCCATGGTTACTGCAACCGCTACTTGGTGCATTTCTGCATGGCGGGGTCGGTGATACTGGATGGACCTGAAGTTCCCCTGGCGACAGTCATGTGGAATGACGAATGCTGGTATGGCAACTGGGGTCCTGAATTTACGCAGTATTGCATGCGTCGGGCCACGGAATTTGGTATACTGCATGGGCCTGGCATGTGATGAGGCGTCTTGCTGGTTGGTTGGTGCTTACAGCTGAGCTCTGACCACTATATGCTGTGTTGGGATATAACCCAAGATGAAAGAGGCAACATTGAACGGCAGAGATGGGGCAATATGTCAGGAGGAATTTATTGGTGCATGACTGCATGCATCGGTGCTGGAATCCGGCAGCGGTGGGAGCACAACGATCTGCATTTAGTACCCTGGCATATTGTGAGGTACATGGACATCCTGCGGGCTTGCAAATGTGCCACCCACACGGCATGTGGCGGAACGCACAGAAACTGGAACACGACTTGACCAGCAGATGCAAGAAACAATGCATGTAGCCCGAAATGCTGCAACGAGTGTCTGCTTTTTCTGACAGGCTCGTAAGGTGGAATACTGCATGCGCGAAACTGCCTGCATCATAATTCGTAATTCATAACTGCTTGCATGTACACAGTCAATGCATGAACGCTTGAAGAAGTTGCTCTGTCCCACATAGTTCGCATGTTTCACCGGTCAACTTATACAGTACTTAGTTTGAGGCACATACTGTAACTTTTGGTTAGGTGCGACTAATTGGTTGCGCCTCAGTCGGTAAATGCTGGCATTTGGTTCTTCGTACAGATGAACCAACAGATCGCAGGGCGTCGCTGTTCTGTGTGTGTTCTTAATCTGTGTATCGCCACGGCGGTGATCTGTCATCGTCAGTTCAAGATCTTGTTTTATCTATTGTGCTTTTCAGCTCAAGATCTTGGACAGAGGATGGGTCCGCAGGATACAGTCATTTCATTTGTTTTTAGCTGTGGATGTTTGTACTGACACCTCCTCCTAGTGACGTCTCACTTAGTATGACTCCGAACCTACATGCCTCGCCTGGATTGTCCGAGTGTGAGCGCCGAAATCCTACATCCTAAACGTCTAAATCCTACCAGTGTATTACATATTGTATCGTCACACCAGTATGCACGTTCAGGCAGGCATGCGTGCATCTTCCCTTTGCTGATGTTGAGAAGTTGAGATATGGTAGTTTCCGAAAATAGGGACCAGTACCCTAAATAGTCGGATCCTTCTTATAAGGACCCCCAAGTAAGGTGCCCTAATCGGAAACCCAAAACCTTAAACACTCTATAGAACCCTTATAGATCCCTTTAAGGAACCCTTATAGATCCCTTCAGAGGTACCCCTGTTTGGTACCCCTATTTCCTGAAACTCCCATTTGTTTGTTTGCGCAGGCGCGCGCCGAGGAGTTCTTCTCGACAGAGCTCAGGACGGCTGCCGCTTTGACCAAGGAGGACACCTAACATGGGGGCCTTACCAATTAGAATACGGTTCCTTTAAAGGTCAATAAGGGCTACTATGAGGGGTCTATAGTGCCAACGGATAACATTCGAATTGAAGAGATGGCGAAGCCACATGTCGATTTCGCCAGCGGCAACAATGCAAATACCTATCTTCCCACGGATAGAACAGGCGCATAGCAGAGTACATAACCCCAAGCAATGAAGAGGCTGAGCACAAACTTCAGAGAGGCACGCAGAAATTCACCCCTGAACATTCAGATGCAGCATCTGCAGGCTTCGGGTTCATTCAAGCTACAAAAGCGCGGGCGGAAAGAGCCCTGTAAACCCTCCTTAGCTGCCCCAAAAGAGCAAACCCGGCCTCTGGCCTCCGGCCTCCTCATCAACGGCACCAGGGCCCAACAGAACAAGAATGTCTAACAGAGAACAGGCAAACGCAAACTGCCCAATATAGGTGGCTTAAGAATTACCAATTCCGTTCTGGGGGTTTGTTATTATAAGTCTAGTATGATGGACCGCAAAACCCTACTCTAAGCCCCTGTATTGAGCTCCAGCCGGCCGACGAGAGGAAGCACGGGCCTCGCACGAAGCGCTCCGGCAATCCCTCGCCTTGGAGCTGAAGGAGGAGATGGTGGCGGCCAGCCACTTGCTTCAGCGCATGGGGGCTTGCGTAAGATTGCTCCGTTGTTATCTGTACGCTGATGATACAATCCTGCATTACCCAGAACAAGGAATATACCATAGTTCCCATAGTTTAGGGTCCTTGAGGTAATGCAGGGTTTATATCATCAACAGTAGTGCTAGAGGCCTGCTGCAAGAAAGGACTTAGAATCTTACGGCTTATGGTTGATTCCCAAGTGAGAATGCAATTTGCACTATGAGTGGGCATGACCATAACATTCGAGCTGTAAAGACGTCAATCGAGCCAAGAGGTGCAGTTGCCATGGGCGTTCTGATTCTCATCCCTGATTTCACAAGGAGACATTGTGACATCAGCCAGCGGGGTACAGAAGTCTTCAGGGCCTCTCAGCCCGAACCCCAAAGGGGGAGGCCCTAGGAATAGGCGGAGGGGACGCGGGTTTAGGTGCATCGGGGACCATAAACTCGCCGGACCCCGAATTTTGCATAGGGCGGGGACCTTCGAAACTATGAACCCATCATGCCTGGAATCAGGCGATCAAACCCCCCCTCCCCCCTCTAAGCCTCTACCGAAAATCGTCGATGACCAAAACCCAAGTCCCAAAGCGAGACGTGCCTGCCGACGATCATTGGGCTGAGGTGATGCCATCCAGGAGCGTGCCCAGCTGCGCGTCTTCGCTGCACGCAAGGCCGGGATCTTGCATGTTGGCAAGCTAAGCTTGAATCAGGATAGGGCAAGCTAAGCTTGAATCAGGATAGTAATAGTACAGAAGACTGCAAGACTACCTCGAGGTCATTATAATACGGTTTCCAGGACAGTACTCTGCTATCATGGTACTGCATGGGAGGTGTCGCTGCTTCGGAGCCCTCCTACGCATAATCTATGCTCAAGAAGCCAGAGTTGGAAAGCCCAACCAAAGACTGCTATTTAGGGTTTCGGCTTTAAAGGCCTTGAGGCATGGGTTTGCGCGGGTGTTCTTTTGGCTTGGGCATGCTTTTGCACATATTAATCCTCTGAGTGTCTGCGAGGAGTCCCTTTTTTGGATCCCACAGGTTCAGCCTCACTCTCATAATATTGGAAGGGCCCCAGAATGTACCCTAAATAATTCAGAGAACGCCCCCCCCCGTTGCCCACACCAATCCGACCGGAGACAGGAATGCCGCTCGGAACTCCGCATGCTGCGGCAAGAGCAGGCTCAGGGTTTCTTAAGAACTGCTCATCTCAAGGATCCTTTGTTTTCTGGCCTTGACCACCGCGGCAACCGTTGTCCTACAGTCCTACCACACGCTGTCAATGCTGGAGCTTTGCATCTTCGAAACTCCGCTTCGTGTCGCCGTCGCGCCGTCAAGTTTCAAGCGGAACACACCTTAGCAACAGCCGAGAAAACGTCAGCAGCCGAGCTAAAGAACTCAGGTCGACATGCTGTTCACCTCGGCCCATGAACCAATAACTCTCCTTGTCGTCCGGCACTTCACCCTCAGAGCACACTTCACGCTGTGGCACCGAATGGACACGCCCGGGTCAGTACCGAGCTGTTGCCCTCATATTTCCTGCTGCTGCAGTAAAGGAGCAGCAGGGTGCTCCGACCCCCTCTACGAACCAAGCAACCAGTCAACTCGTCAGTCAACATTAAGCCAGGAGCAGCGCCATCTTCTTGCCCATAGTTTTGCTCTTTCGTTCGCACGGATGCCAAAAAAGTCTGCACTGTGCTTCAGGAAGCAGCCATGCATGTGATGGCCGATCAGCAGAATGCGGCATGGATCTTAGCAGACGTATCTTTCTTTCAGCACGGGGGTGAGTTTCGCCTAGCTACCTGAGGAGATGGCCTTGCAGATGAGGGTCCAAAGCACCGAGCAGGCGATGGAGCAAGCAGCTCAACAGGAGATCTCGAGCATTGTCTCGTTGTTTTGAGATGGAGTCGAAGACTGGCTGAGCTCGGGCTTGGATTGCAGGAGCATGCCCAACTGCAGCAAAAGAAGAATCCACGGCTGCACTATGCACGCGGTACTGCTGTCACTGTCAAGCGCCCTCTCCTCGTGCAGAGGAGGAGTACATGTGGAGGACCCCACCTGATGATGCCATGCCTGCGTGAGCTCGAGTCGAAAGAAAGCTTGTTCTGAAACAGTCCAGTCCTCTCCAGCCCTACTTAAAGGATCATGGGACTTAGTAACTCGGGTTATAAATGCGGTAGCTATACTTATAAGTACTTATAACCCCAATTAGGGGACTTATAACCTTACTTACTAACTCCCCCCTGATCCTCCAAGTAAGTCGCATCGTGATACCCGTAGCATGTTGTGGCCAAGGGAAGTCGGCGAGCAGCAGCTGGCCACTGCTAGGGCCAAGTTGGACGAGGAGAACGAAGCGGTTTATTGTTCAAAGATCCAGGGGCAAGTAGGAGTAGACATAATGCAGAATAGGGGCACGTACATTAAACCAGTCTATTCAACAACAACACATGAGAAGTTCAGGAGCGGCATCAACTCCAGCGCATGAGGTGCCTTAGCAGCAAGCAGCTGACTGTTCCTATGGACCGTGGCCATGTAAATTTCATAGCGTGCCCAGTTCAATTTGACATAGTCACTGCAAGCTGTTCGCATTTGCCTGGAGTCTGAGACTGTGTTTGCCAGGGAAGTCAGTGAGACGCAACTGGCCAAGACTACCTCTCAATTGGAGGCGGGAGTCTGATGCTCCGGTCTAGCATCTAGCAGGGGATGGAGGTGTGTGTGTGTGTGTGTGTGACAGCACTCCCTACACCCGCTCCTGCCTCAGAAGTGCAGACAATCAAGTTGTGATCGAGTCGCCAGGACGCCGCGAGCCAGCTTTCACGCTTGGAAGCAGCGCAACAACGGACACGGGAGGAGCCCAGCATACAAAATCATCGCAGTTGTTACATCTCTGTGCGTGTGAGCAGGCCATTGATAGGCTGCCAGTGAGCCAGGCCTGCGAACTACCATGTCTCGATGAGAGTTATAAAGCAATGCGAGAGTCTGTTGAACGGCGTTTTCAGGCAGCGTTGCATTAGAGAAGCAAATTTATTCATCCATCCGGCACTGCAGTGCGTCGAGTGGTCATAGTTAGTACCGTCCTGATTTTCCTGACAGGAGATGGCTGCCCATCACAGCGGCTTGACTGTAACTACGATACGCGTGTAATACGCGTGAGTTAGAAGGTCGTGGTTGCCGGATGGACAGTGCCGCCCTGCTCCAGTCATCGTTGAAGTTGAGGATCTCTGCAGACGCTGTGTGCACTCTGGCATGCCCCAAGACCCTATCAACGCAATACCTAGAGCCCTACTATAAGTCGTGTGTGCCGTGTGTAGGCCCAAGACTAAACCTTTCAAGCCGCAGAGCGGCACCAGGTGCAGCAGCAGCTTCCTGGAACAGAAGCCTGGCCTCCGCACAGGCTTGGCTCCCTCACGACACTTTGTACCTGAGGCTTCGGGTGTAGAAGCCTCAGCTGTCAAAAACCTAGTTCCCCAAAACTTCACATAAACACGCATATTACACTCTGTACCAGAAAGAGCTCATATGTACGTACATAAACATAAAGTTCTGTGTTGTGCACGCCAGGCTTCCCTAACCTAGTGGACTTGGGGCGTTACATCGACGTCTGGGGGTTCGATGTACGTTTCTGATTGTTCTTATCGGTCCGGTAGAATGCGGTACATTCCTGTTCCATGAAAAATTCCAGCTGAGACAATGTACTTACCCACACCCACCCACACCGCCTGCCAGCCCGCCGGCCCGCCACAGACACACACGCACACGCACACACACAGACACAGAGACACACAGAGACACACACAGAGACACACACACAGACACACAGACACAGAGACACAGAGACACAGAGACACAGAGACACAGAGACACAGAGACACACACACAGACACAGACACAGACACAGACACAGACACAGACACAGACACAGACACAGACACAGACACAGACACAGACACAGACACAGACACAGACACACAGACACAGACACAGACACAGACACACACACACAGACACAGACACAGACACAGACATACACACACAGATGTATATGCATACAGTTATGACCAGTTATGTGTATGTAATTGTATGTGTGTTATGTATGTTTATAGATACTCTCTCTCTCTCTCTCCCTTTCTCTAGCCAGGCGGCGAGAGCTCAGGCCGAGTCCGTGCTGAAAGCAGCCCCCTGGACCAAGGGAGCTAGGATTCTAGATTGGTAGAGTCCTGGTAGAGTATAAAATATATACTTATGTCCTATAGTTGTTATTGTTATAGTATATATGATTTTTGTTTTTTTGTGGTGATGTTCGAGGTGCCTGAGGTGACGAGTGGTCCGGGGGTGTGAGGGTCCTTACAGTCACCGGCTGATATTCGGGATCCTTCAGTTTCGAATCTCCCATTCGTATGCAATTGAGCCGCCAGCGACAGCGACACACTGAGGCCTCCAAGACGTGGGAGTCATCTCGCTCAGAAGTGTCACACCTGCAGCCCCCTTCGCCTGAGCCTTGTACTGGGCAGTTCGACTTACATGGGAGTTTCCGAAAATTAGGGGTACCTTATTTTAGGGTGCTTATAATAAGGAACCTACTATTTAGGGTACCATATTAGGGTCCCCTTATTTTCGGAAACTCCCACATAGAGCCTCACTCCCTGTCACTGTCAGCACAAACCCTCCGCCCTGAAGGCTCGGACCTGCTGCTTCTCGGCCTCAGATTGACATCGACCTTCTGGAGCTCCACCCGGTTCTCTTTGAAGTCTGATATACTATATATATATATATATATATATACACCCGCTCTATACACACATATACATATATATATATATATATACATATATATATATATATATATATATATATATATATATACATACTTACTTATTTATAGATTAAATATAGACCGTATATATTTGATTCATGGTAGGATTTGCCTTGCGCAGACTTGCGCCGCCTTCCTGTGCATCTCCTGGGTGCTGGTTCATGCTATCGGTTGCTGCGACACTGCCGCCGCCATGCGCGTAATTTAGCGACTTGCCAGGAGCTGGACGACATTGACGAAGAGGAGTGGGATGGTACCGTAGTACGGGGATGGGGTTCATGACGGGATGTACAGTTCGCAGGATTGAGTTCCTGATTTCGCAAACTGGTCAACCTTCGCCTGGATGGGATCTTTGTGAGAAAGTCCTCTTGGAGCTTCATGGGAATCGAGGCTTGTGACCGAAGTGCCCACCATATCCGAAGGAAGCATAATGTTTGAATGGCCATATGTGTTTTTTGGGGGCTAAGGCTTAACACGTGCTTGCGCCATGCCTCGCCATAGTTTTTCGAGCAGACCAGTAATGCTAGCCTTCGCGATGATCGAACCAGACTCGTCTAACCGAGTCTAACCCTGCCATGCGGGCTCGTCCTTGCGAAGTAATTAGGACAACTAGGAGACAACCGAAGCCTTAAGCCGCCATGGCAGGGAGCAGAGGGAACACTTCAATTCCCTGAGCTAGGTTAATATACAGAATGAGGCCTATAGAAGGGAAACTCTGTATTAGAAGGACGGCCTAGAAGTTGAGATTCCTTGTTTTTTTGTCAGATGTTGCATCCCATGCGTCTGGACACCTGGCTATCCGGCCTTGCAGGTCGACAAATTCTTGAACTATCGCCCGGCCGATGTGTCCCCCGACAGCATGTCAGAGTTGTATCCTGGTTGATTGCTTCGATGCCGTGCTGCCTTCAGCAACATGTGCAGACATGCCCAACTTGTGTTGGAGAGTTTGGAAACACTTTTTGGGGGTGGTGTCTCAGAACAAAATGCAGCCTGACAAAGACACCGAAGGAGTAGAATCCATATTCCAACGAGCCCTATGTACCCCAATCTGCAGACATATCCGTTAGAAGAGCTGCAGGAAAAGCTTCGCGCAAGAGGAGCTTCCGGGCGCCTCCGTGCAGCTTCTCTCTACGACGACCTCCTTTGAATCCGAAGCAGGCCTCCGTGATGTGTATATATAAGTTCATGTAGACATACATACACATAATATATAGATATATATACATATATATACATATGTATATATATACACATAGATCTATATATATATATATACATATCTATCTATCTATATATATATATATATATATATATATATATATATATGCACCTATGTTGAATATATGTAATGCAAAGTATGCTGTATATAGTCTACATAAACTGTATACACATGTATATATATATATATATATGTATGTATGCATGCATGTGTATTCTTCTATAGAGTCTGCATATGTATATATATATATATATATATATATATATATAGATACGCATGCATACAGCTCTCTCTCGCTCTCTGCGCCCCAGGTTTCCGAATTCTTGAGATATATGGGAATCTCTGACTTCAGATGGGGGATAGGGTTTTATGATACTGTCGGGTTTAGGGGTCTAGGGATCTTCGCAGAGAAGAGATGAGCACAAGTGCAGTACGCAGATCTTGATTGAACCGATGGCCTCAGACGCTGCAGGCAAAGTCACTCCGCAACTCGGAATTCGCCAGGTGCCACCGACAGTGGAGGAAGCTCCTCGATGCCATTGGTGTACGCGGCTGCGCTCGAGGGCACCGCGGCATGATTAAGTATATAGCAAAAGCATCAGATTTCAGTCCCTAATGTAATATTTGCTGATATAGCCCAAAACCCAAATCGAATCATTAACCCCTACATGACTTGGCAGCTTGAGTGCTGGGCGCCGCTGTGGAGCTGTGCGAAGAAAAAACTGCGGATGCAGTAGTGACGCTGTGTGTGCATGTGGTCAGCCCTCCGGAGGGGTGTCGGGCGGAAACTAGACCAAAGCCTTTAAACTCCTGTCCAGGATTTTAGACACAACTGGACGACAGAAGCCGCTCTGCCTCAGGCATCGAAACGCACGGCTGGAGCGCTGTTTATCCCTTGGATGACCCTCCAGCCTGGACCATCCTGCACTGGGCAGCCATGGAAGGCCTGTGCCCTTGCTTTTGATATGGGTTAAGGGTTTATAGGGTTTAGGGGGGGTGATGGCGTGTGACTTGTCGATACTCCTCCTACTGTACCGGAACAGAATTACATGCATGCACAGTGCAAACACACGCAGGCCGGCTGGAGATCTGCCGCCGCCTCCTGGCTGCCGGTGCCAACCCCTTCTGTGAGGAGCTGCTTCTGAGAAATCCCATGTGGCCGTGCCCAGCGCATTTTTTGCACCGTGAAGTTATCGAAATCTTCACGGGCTCCGGAAATAGATCTTGCATCATACATTGGCCAATTATCGGCTGAATCCATGAGATGGTACTTGCTCCCCTCAACACTGCCGCTACACTGGGCACTGCCTTTTCACAATGATGCCCATGCGCAGAGGTACCTAAGGCGAATACCACACCTTTGCTTCCCTCTGTTTTTCGCACCTTTCTTGAGCCCTTGGTGCCCCCATGTCACTCTAAGCACCAATGTCTGCAAGCGTCGCAACTTTTCGCAAGAGTGCCCGATATGACATCTTTGTATGTCGCTTGCATGAAAAAGGCCCATGCCCCCTTTGCAATCTTTCCACTTTCCACTGTGTTAATGTATGTGAACTTGGGAGCCTTGCATCAGAAGCAGCACGGCTTGCTGTGAGATGGCTCCAGTTCCATCATCAGCTGGCCTCCCCCATCAGACGATGCATACATCAAAGCTCTTCAAGGGAGACTGTTTCTGCAGCTAGGTAGGCTTGTCGGACTGGCACAACAGATTAGCCCCAAATAGCAAGGATGCCAGTATCCAGGGTTCGATTTGGAGGTCTCATATTCCTCCAACATACCCGCTTACATAGGTTCATCTGCTCGGAGTCGGAGGTCAGGCAATATAGGGTCTGAATAACTGGAACTGATATCCTCTGGAACTGTCGTCCCTCTTAAAGTTGTAGTTTAATACACTCCAAAACCCTGTTCTACTTATTCAGGCCTCTAGAGTAGCTGGGAAAGATTCGTCGACTCCTTGCCAAGCTGTACCGGCAGAAAAAGGGCAAATAACGCTCGTCGTTGGTGCTCCTGCTACTTGCTAGCATCGTGACGAACCGCCCATGGCAACAGGACGAGCGCGGGTGGACGCCACTCGACTGCGCCGACGAGGCTGGCGAGGTGGAGGCGTGGCGCTGCAGGGTGCTATGGAGACTTGTACGGGCTGTCTTCTGGGCTGGAGACGGTAGCGGCCTGGAAGGCTGACTAAGGTTCACGGTCAGGAATGATTCGAGGAGATTAACGGTGGCAGTTCGTGTTTTCCGCGGTAGATTTGTGTGGAGGCTTGTCCTGGATGGTAGAGTCGGGGGGCGCCGCCATGGAGAGGTTGTCGGTTCTGCATCTTCGTGGTTGGGCGTTTGGTGCACTTCAGCCTCGGTTACAGCGGACAGGAACGGAATGCCGCAGCCACAGAAGACATTCAAAGCATCATGCCACCAAGCCAAGCTAAGCCACGATAAACCGACCAGCTCAGCAAGGGCTCTGCGAGGTGAGCAAAAATGATGCACCCAAATCAGGTTTCCAATCTTCTCGTGGCTCATGCGCCTGATGCCGATCTCGGCCAGGCCGGCTGTCAGGGCAACGGCAGGTTAGTTGGCAGAAGGAGTCCGACTTGAACTGAGTGCTAGCAACGACGCAAAAACTCATGATAGTCCACATGAGAAATGGGTGAAATGGCTTGTGATAAGAAGAATAAGTGTAGTAATAATAGTAATAGTAATAGTAATAGTAATAGTAATAGTAATAGTAATAGTAATAGTAATAGTAATAGTAATAGTAATAGTAATAAGAACAATACCGACAATATAATAATTAGTGAGACTTGTGCTCCATTGGCTTCGCAGCCGAGGGCGGAGCGATGCACCCTGTGCTTGCAGCTGCCGTCACAGCTGTGGAGAACTATGGCTGGCAGGAGAGCGGTGGATCAAGACTTTACTCAGAGCTGAGAGCATACCCCTAGAGCCCTAGGTGCACCGCACTCGCCGATACCATGATCTCAATGTCAGGCTGTGCATGAAGGCCGCCGAGAGTGGACAGCGCTGCACTGGGCGGCATCTGAGGGCAACAAAGCATTGTGCGCACGCCTGCTGCTGCATGATGCGGATCCTAGTCAGGCCAGATTTGGGCTCTTTCCCTGCTGCAGATACTAAAGGCCTGGAGCATGCGAAACAGCATTTCTTCTGCCGGCACTTGCAGGTGGATCAAGCGGGACGCAGTGCTTTGGACTACGCTCGAAATGCTGGGCACCGCAGCACCTTTGAGATGCTTTGGCAGTCGCA